GCAAGCTTCATGATGTCTAGACAAGCAAAAAATGTATCTACACCTTTCCTTTTTCCTGCCTTAATACCCATGTTTGGAAAGGGACATCCTGAGACCTGTGGTTTTTTCCCCCCAAGTGAAATTTGAAAACATCATGCGGATACTTTTCCAGTGGGGGAGTGAAACAGGCTTTTTATCACTCTGAGCTCCCGAAAGAACCATTTGAGTATACGCTTCCTGTCCAGGGAGGAAATGGCCCTGTCAGTAACTCGGATGGACCCTGATTTTCAATAACTTTCCATCCTGGCAAACCATGATTCAGTTTCCATTTATAAAGTGAAATGAGTGCTTAAATAATCAACAGCCAAAAGGCAGCAGTAGGAAATGAGCCATCCTTCAAAAACAATTCTTGTCTGTTTAGTTTGGACTTTGTTCTATTGTTAAAGGATTTCCTTATGTGCTAAGTATTGGAAATAATCTATGTGCATTGCACATTTGTTGCATGTTTTTTTTCCTACTTCTTCTTTACACCGTGCAAGGAAATTTGGCAATTACTGTCTTAATTTTCAAGAGGGAAACGGAAGCTGGTACAGCAGCAATACAAGCCTAGCCATTGGAGAATAAACTACTTCCTGATAGATCAATTTATTATACAGACAAGAACCACGGACTCATAGGCTCCATGTGCCCTGTGCATTTAAAGCTGTATCACATCACTTTAAACAACCATGGTTTTCCCCAAAGAATCCTGGGAACTGTAGTTTGTTAAGGCCGCTGAGAATTGTTACAAGACCTCTATTTTCCTCACAGAGCTCTAAAACCAGAGCTCTCTGGGGAGAGGGGTTGACTGTTACACCACTCAGGGAATTGGAGCTCTGTAAGACGAACAGGGGGTCTGCTAACAACTCTCAATATGCTTAACAAACTGCAGTTTCCACCATTCTTTGGGGAAAATCCATGGCTTTTTAATGTGGTATAACATACCCTCCAACTTTACACTAAGGAAAATAGTGATGTCCCATTCAACAACAACAAAAATACTTCTCCCATCTGACTGGGTTGCCCCAGCCACTCTGAGCAGCTTCCAGCACATCTAAAAACATAATAAAAGATTAAACATTTTAAAAATTCCCTCTTTATCCTTTAAAAATCTTTCTATTTTTCTCATGTTGTTATTGCCTTTACTTCTATATAGGTGTCTGTAAAAGTCCAGGAATCCTTTTCTAATCTCTTTCAGATTATCTATCTCGGTACCTTCAATGATGATCTTATTCACTGTGTTTTGTTCCTTTCTTTTCTTTATCTGCCATGCCAGCCATTTTCCTGATTTATTTGCGAACTCGAAATTTCTCTGTCTCAACCTTTTTATATTTCCTTCTACTTCTTTGTTTATTATCATTGCAAATTGTGTTTGTAGAGTCTTTATGTTCTGTTTTATCTTCTCATTATTAGGTTTCTTTATCAATTTTTGTTCATTCTCTGTTATTTGTCTCAAAATTTCCTTCTTTACTTTCTCTCTATTTTTGTTTTTCAAGGCATTTTGCTGGATAAAGAAACCTCTCATCATGGCGTTGCTGGCATCCCATACCGTGTTCATTTTTGTCTCCTTATTGCAGTTATTTACAAAATAGTCCATCAAACACCTTCGTGCACTATCCAAAACTTTTTGATCATCTAAAAGGTAGTCATTAATTCTCCATCTAAAGGTTTTTTCTTCATAACCTTTTAATTCAAATTTTATTGCACTATGATCCGAAATCACTCTTGGTTGAATTTCAATGTCTGTGATTCTTGGAGTTAATTCGTTCGAGACCCATACTTGATCTATTCTCGACATGGATTGATTTGACTCAGAGTAAAATGTAAATTGTTTCTCCAGGGGATGTCTAAGTCTCCAGATGTCAATCAAGTTACAGTTCTTTATCATTGAAAAAAAGGTCTTAGGTAGTTTTCCATCTTTGCTCATCCCTGTTGTTCTTAATCTATCCATTTCCGTTGACACCACTCCATTTAGGTCTCCCATTATTATGATCTTCTGGTCCATGAATTCGAATAATTTTTCTTCTAGACTTTTATAGAAGTCTGTTTTGTTACCATTTGGTGCGTAGATCCTGACGATTACTATTTTTTCTCCTTGCCATTTGATCTGGACTGCAATAATTCTGCCTTCTTCATCCTTAAAAATTTGCTGAGTTTCAATTTTTTTACTGATATACAATACTACCCCTCTCTTTTAGTCCTATCCGATGATATAAATTCATTTCCTAGTCTTTTGTTAATCAAAACTTTTTTATGTCTTCTTGCCACATGAGTTTCTTGCAAACAAATAATGTCCAAATTCTTCTTTTTTAAATGTTGTTCAATCTTATTCCTTTTTTTTATTATTAATCCCATTAATATTCCATGTCCATAATTTCAACACCATCTTTGCCATATTGGAAATTTTATTACAAATTTTATAGTCTGTCTACTTCTTCTTCTTCTTCCTCTTCTTCTTCCTCTTCTTCTTCTAACTTTTTCCTTTCTTCTTCTTCTATCTGTTTCAAGTCTACTCCTCCTGCAGCCTCCATTCCTGGTTCTGCACCTCTTGTCTCGTCATCTTCACTTCGTAGCTCTTTATATTTTCTCAAAAATTTGCTTATTTCCTCCAGACTTGTAAGTCTGTGTCTTTTGCTTTTGTAGAAGAAAGAAATTCCTTCTGGAAATTCCCATCTGAATTCTATGTTGTTTTTCTTGTGGATTTGCACCGTTGCTTTGTATGGGTCTCTTCGTTTTAACAGCCTAATTGGGATATCTTTAAAAATAATTATGTAATTTCCATCTATGTTCAATCTCTTTTCTCTATTTTTTTGAAGTACCAAGTTTCTCATCTCTTTGTCTTTAAATGTAATCAGACAATCTCCTGGGAACTTCTTTGCCTTCACTGATTTTGTCTTGATTCGAAATGCATTTTGTATTGTCCTTGCAACCTCCTCTGTCTGCAGCTCCATCCATTGTGCAATCTCCTTTATTAATTTCTCTTTAATATTCTCTCCTTGCACCTCTGGGACAAGCCTAAATCTCAGATTCACTTCCCGCTGTCTCAGTTCATTCATGGCAATCGTGTCCCAGACCTCCTCCTGTGCTTTATTAATTTCCGACATTCCTGTTCTTATTTTCTCCTCTTCTTTTTTCACCTCCCTCATCTCCAATTTATTCCTTTTCATTCCCTCCTCCAAAGTTTGAGTCCTCCTACTCATGTCCTTTAATTGTCCTTTCAGTTCACTAACTGTTTTGTCATTTTTTTTTGTCCATCTGGCCCATTTTTTTATCCATCAGGCCCATTCTTTTGTCCATTTGTTCTAATTTGGATTCTAAATTCTTCTCACTCTGCTTAATATCATTTTTAATTTCTGCAAACATTTTCAAAATTTCTCCTCTGAAGTTTGTTTCCTGTTTAGAACCTCTCCTGTCCGCCGGAGTTCCACTTTCACTCGCTTTCTTCTGTGTGTGAGACATAGTTTTACCAAATCTCATCTCTTTCCCACTCAATATATAGTCGTTAACAAATTAATGTAAACACAACCCTTTTTCTGGAGAAACAAAATTAATATATTCCCACACTTCTCAAAATATTCTTAGGCCCAATAACAAAATATTTAAAAATTATTTTTATATCTCAATTAAATTATGTATTCCAATTATAGTTCAAAAAGTTTCCAGAATAACCCTCCTATTGAATGTTTAAATGTCAAACTTCAATTTCCTTTAATTTTTCCCAAAATTGTTATAGGACCCAAAACCTGATGGGCAGGATGACCAATAAATTTTCTTCCTTCTTCTTGCCACCACTTAGGCTAAATCCACTCCAAACCACGATTAAAGCTCCACAGACTCCAGGGTTGAATGGTGATAATATCCAAATCAATACATTTCCCTAACCAATAGTATTATCTCAGAAGAAGGAAAAACAAAGAAGAAACCAAAAAACAAAATGGCCAGACGTGTCTCGAAAAGGCAAAAGGGAATGAAAAAATAATCCCGAGCTCAATTATATTAAATTGATGAAATTAAGTCCAAATGTTGAATATTTTCCAATTGCCTAAATGTCTCAATATACTTGTAAAAATCCACTTAGCAAATCATGCATTTAATTTGTAGAAAAAAGAATAACAACAACAACAACAAAAATAAAAATAAAAAATAAATAAAAACAGAAATAAGAGGGGGGGAAATAGAGTAAAAAATGAAAAATAAAAATGAGAACAGGATCCCCCTAAAAACACAAAGAGGGAGCTAAAAATAATCCAAAATTATAGAAATTTAAATCTCAGTTTAAATCAAATCCGAATAGGCATCTAGTCCCTATATATTTCAAGTGGCTCTGTCAAAACGTAACCAGATAGACCATTCAGAGGAGGGGATTAGCAAAAAACCTTCATGCAGACTTAGCAATCCTTAGAAAGTTGGAAATTAAACTTAGAAGGACTTAAACAAAAGAAAAATAAGAAGGTGCCAAAAGGGAAGTGCTTTGCTCAATGTAATCCAGTCAATCCATCAATCTGTCTTTTTATCTCTTTTCTACTTTCTTCCTTCTGTTGCTAGATCGCGCTCAACTTCAGCAAAATGGAGATACAAAAGCACTATTTTGTTGCGCAGTTCTTTTTAAACCAAAAGTATCGGGAAGCCTCTATAAATTTTCGTTCTGTCAAACCAATCGTTACACGAAGACCCCTCCACAGTCGTACATAAACAAGTTTCTGCTTCCTCTACCCGCTTTTGCAACTATTTGCAACTATTTGCAACACTGTATATAACTTTTTTACAAACTTTCTCAGAGGAAGAAGTTCAAACCGCTTGCTGTTTCACCAACCTCTCGTTTCCGACTCCGCTCTCAGTCGTGCGTTGCTGTTCGATCTCAGATGAAGCTGACCTCCGTTTTTCAGTCTTTCTTTTTACTCTGAAACCTTCCTTTTTGTAAAAATCCAATTATAAATCCAAATTGGTTCGAATTTCTTGTTCATTGAGAATCGCCTACTTGCCTTGCAAGCCTGGGGCTGCGCTTTCGGGGGGGAGACAATGGATTCCTGGTGCCTGCTTCTCCGCCCGCTGTTCTCTTCGCTCCTTTTTACGGAGTTACCTAACGGCCAGGCGATCCGCTGTTGGCTCCGCTGGGATCTTGACCCTCTGGTCTCCCTCCAGAGGGGTTTTGGCGGGCTACCGCACCCTGTAGCAACCCCGATTTCCCCCCGAAAGCCCGGATTTTCCCTCTCCAAGAAAATCCCGCTTGCGTCAGGTCCGTGGCTGCGACCAGAAGGTGGTGGGAGTGTAAAAAGGTGGGAGGCTTCTGGGAAATGATATATAATGAATTGAAAAAGATGTTGAAATATGCGTTTATTAAGAAACTGGAGGCCTTCTTATTGGGATTGGTAGGAAATGAGATAAGTAAGAAAGACTGTAAACGTTTTCAATACGCAGTTACAGCAGCGAGAATATTTCTGGCCCAAAAATGGAAACAGGAAGAATTACCGACGGTGGAAGAATGGAGACTGAAATTGACTGATTATGCAGAATTGGACAAACTACCAGGGACGATTCGGAATCAACGAGCCCAAAAGTTCATCGAGGACTGGGGAAGATTTACAGATTATCTGAAAGGCATATGTGATGAACAGATAACATTTGTTGGTTTTCAAGAGACTCTGTGAAAAACAGAGGAATATTGTTAAAAAGAAAATAAGAGGAGGGAAGGAGATATCTAAAGGCAATACTAAGTTAAGAAACGTGTTAATAATATTGATGCAAATGAAAGATCGGCAGAGGAGCTGAGGGAAGTCAAAAAAAGAGATGAATGTGTGATAAAATGTGAATTGATTGCATAAAAATGGTCTTTTTTTCTTTTGTGGAAAATGAATAAAAATATTATTAAAAAAACAAAACAAAATGGGGACTATTCCCTCCAACCAAAATGTAGCCATAATGGTGCTATGATTTAATTGGTTTTAAAGTGCATTTGGCTGGACCCTGACTTGCTGTTCTAGAAATGATGGGGCAGAAGTGGCAGGATCCAGCAGAGGCTCCTTCCGGACGAAGACCATTTTTGCCAATTTCCCCTTCTCCCTTGTAGTCTCCACCACCACCATCTCCCACACTGTCCTAGAGGGTCCTCAAGCCCTGCAGAGGGAAGGTGGATACGCTACTCTAAGAGGAATGACAAATCAATGGAAAGCATCTGCTTAGAAGAGTTGTGCTCTAGCATTATGGATCCAGCCCATTACCTCTCAAGTGTGCTGTCTGGAAAGAGGATAAGACATTTATGTCGCCTGGCCGGTCGTCTTCTAGCCAGAGTATAGGACTACCTTATACCCAATGGGGGAAAACCAGCTGTGTCAGACTTAGGGTCTAAATATGTAGCAGGAAAGTTCATCAGCTTAGAAGGAACACAGCAGGATTTAAAATAAACCAAGCTTAGCCCTTAATAACAGTTTGATATTACTACTATTATTAATTTTGTTTCTATACCGCTTTAAATTTTTAAGGAAAACCCTTAAAGCGGTTTACAACCTACAGTAAAACATCAAATGAAACAACCCCAGAGTACAACGTTACTGAAGAAAGTCAAATATAAAGCACACATTCAAAGCAACATAATTAACAGGAAACTAAAGCATTATCTTTAAGATATTGTTTCTTCTTTTTTAAAAAACAAACCCACTGATATCATGCACATAGCTTCCTGTTAAATGCTATTAAAAGACACAATTTCAGGCAATGGATGACTAATGTTCAGATTCTGGGGATTAAATAATAATAATAAGAAGAAGAAGAAGAAGAAGAAGAAGTTATTTATATCCCACTCATCTGGCTGGGTTTCCCCAACCACTCTGGGCATCTCCCAACAGAACATTAAAAAAACAGTAAAAAAAAATCAAACATTAAAAACTTCCCTAAACAAGGCTGCCTACAGATGCCTTCTAAAAGTCGAATAGCTGTTCATTTCCTTGACATCTGATAGGAGGGCATTCCACAGGGCGGGCACCACTACCAAAAAGGCCCTCTGCCTGCTTCCCTGTAACTTGGCTTCTCACAGTGAGGAAACCACCAGAAAGCCCTCGGTGCTGGATCTCAGTGTCCGGGCAGAACGGTGTGGTTGGAGACGCTCCTTCAGGTATATTGGGCCGAGACCGTTTAGGGCTTTAAAGGTCAGCACCAACCCTTTGAATTGTGCTTGGAAACGTACAGGGAGCCAAAGATTCCTGAGTAGTTTGGTGAAGGTGGATATCTCCGTCACTATTAGTCTCTTGTGATCACAGAACTGAAGTTCCTGAGGTTCCTGGGTAGAGGGTGTTAATGTTAAACCAATAACCCGTAGTAGAGATACTGTAGGTGTTTAATTTTTGCAATTTGATTTGCAGCCTTCTTTTGAACACTGAAGCACAGAAAGCACCTTAGAGGTACCGTGATCAAATGGCTTACTCTGAGCAATCTCACTGAAGCCAAGGGGGAGCTGGAGAAATTAGCAGACATATGCTATAAACTTCGTAAAAACTGCACACTCAGATCCCATTGGCATCTGCGCTTCAGGAGCCACTGGATTGTTTGCACAACGCAGCAGCTGTTGCAAATTTTCTTCTGAATCAAAAGCCCCACGGAGCATCACGGACAGCCCACAGCGCCTGTGCTTGATTTGGGGAGCGCGGTAGAAGTGGAGCTGTAATTTCACAACAGCCGTCATTACAACTCATCACATTGGCAAGCGCAGAAATGTTGTGGACGGGGCTATAAGCCTATTAAGTCTGCATGTTCTGGGACTGATCTTCGTTCTCTTCTCCTTCCAGCTGTTGCAAAGGAAAAGGAAACCAAAGATTCAAAGGAGAATGCGGTGGGGGGGGGTTGAATAAAAATAATAAAAGGAGCATTTTGAATATACGGCTCTTGTCAACGGTGGTTTCATAAGATTTCTTATCAGCATTTGACAAATCCTTTCTACAACACAATGTATGCTGTATGTATACATGGACCATGTTGCACATGGATTTTAATTATATTGTACCTCTACTGTATTTCCTCTTTCCCCCTCCATCCCTTCCTGTTGCACAAGCCATATTCTTGGCGTTAGCAACCCAGATAAAGGATGTTATTTTTGATGTATAAATCAGAATGGCGTAATTCGTCACTTCACACTTCATTTACATCCACAGCCTAACACTGCATTATATGTCCTTTTATCAGCCACAACAGAATCTGTCTGTTGACATACAAGTTATGTCATGCATTTTAACCTAGTGCTGGCCATGGACTTCATTCCATCCATTTCCTTTCTTCTGCTTTGAAAATATTTTCAACTGCCTGCCATCCAGGCAAGGTTTGGCAACTTTAAATCCTATAGATGTCAGCTGTTAAGTATGTGTTTATCCCACTCCATTTGTTATCATTGTTGTGGCTATATGGTGAATAGGATGCTCTCTGAGACACAATTGTCCAATCATAGGTCTGTCCTGTCTCATTTTTTGGTGGGCTTTCCATAAAACTGCATGAAAAGTCCACATGTAAACTGTATACATTGGGTACCCTTCCTTCAGGGGGAAACTGTAAAATATGCAGTTCCCCCCACAAAGTATGCATTTTGTATGCATTTTCAGAACAAGATGTGTATTTTTGTGTATACTTTTGGATACTGACTCTGTATCACAAAATCTTCTAAATAATACTACAGTGGTACCTCGGGTTACATATGCTTCAGGTTACAGACACTTCAGGTTACAGACTCCACTAACCCAGAAATAGTGCTTCAGATTAAGAACTTTGCTTCAGGATGAGAACAGAAATCGTGCTCCGCCGGCGCGACAGCAGCAGGAGGCCCCATTAGCTAAAGTGGTGCTTCAGGTTAAGAACAGTTTCAGGTTAAGTACGGACCTCCGGAACGAATTAAGTACTTAACTCGAGGTACCACTGTATATTACTTTATAATACTTGCTCTCCTTACCTAGTTTTCATATGCAACCGTTATATGTGACTGTTATAGTTTTCTCTATTTTCTAGTGAACTATGATTTGACAGGTAGCTGTGTTGGTCTGACGCAGTCAAAATATATAAAAAAATAAAAAATTGTCCAGTAGCACCTTAGAGACCAACTAAGTTTGTTCTTGGTATAAGCTTTCGTGTGCATGCACACTTCTTCAGATACCAAGCTAATACCAGGAACAAACTTAGTTGGTCTCTAAGGTGCTACTGGACAATTTTTAAATATTTTTTTAATATGATTTGACAGAGCCTTTCAACATTCCCCCATACAGAAATGGATTTATTTTTAAAATAGTACGATTAAACAACTTTATTTATCACACCAAGCCAAGCCAAAAGCAAAGCAGGTACCATAAATGACATCAGAAAGAAAGAATCCCACAATCTCTTGGATTGTATACATATACTAAGTAAACATTTCATGCCGGATTGAGGCAGAGAATTATGCGGGTATCATATTTGAGCCACGGACTGTGCACCAATTTCAATTATCCTTTGCAATAACCATGAATGGTTTCGTAGGTTCCCAGAGTCATTTTGTTTCAGGAAGTCTAGAAACACGAAGTCCTCAAGTATTGTTCCTTTTTTTTGCCTCCCTCGTCCATTAACCTCTTGCAGTCTGTAGGCAGAAACTGAAAGGCTCACCAACCATTCTGCGTTACATGACTCATACTGCAATGCTACATGTGTTTTCTCAGAGGTGAGTCCCAATGGCACTTATTCTCTAGTAAGTACATTTAGGATTCCATCCGTAGGCTTCCATCAAATCAAGCACATATACATGTGTCTGATTTAACAACAGAAACTTATGCATGGATCATGTTCAAAGGCATAAAAGGATGCCAAGTGTAGGACAAAACAATGTATTCATCCAGTGTGGTGGAAGCACCACTTGCACCCCCAAACAGAAGGTTGGTGCATTCACCTTTGACACTTCACTGGTTGGTACAGCATTTTTTCTTAAAATCTAAGGCTCCACACATTTTAATAATCTGCTTTCTCAAGAGTCAGCTGCATTAGTCTGGTACTGTTCCTTTGGAGGATCCAAGTGAGCACATGACATGCTTGTCAGGGACTGGGCAGAGGAGGAATGGTGGAGACCACATCCCCAGCCTGACGCTTCCAGAGAAGAAGAAGACAGTTCAGAATTACAACATGGGTTTGAGGGAGGTCACAGCTCAGAGGCAGATGGGGGGGGGAGCTGGAAATAATGGGAGAGGAGGAAGAAGAAGCACCAGAGGGGGGACAGCTGATGGACACAATGTCTTTAGAAAGCATTCCAGACCCCCTCTCTCCTAGAACCCAGCAGGCATTGAAAGAAGGAGAGCAGAAAGCTCAGAGGCAGAGGGCACTTCTCAGCACCTCTAGTGATGACGCATGAAGGGAGATAGAGAGGAGGTGGAGACTCACTCAGAGCAACACCATTACTTCAGGAGGCTGCATTTCTAAACCTCTCTCTGTGGATATTGAATAAATAGCGTTGGTAAGAACTTTCCTTGTATTATCTATTCCTGGCAACCTACCGTGGGGGGCTGGATCCTCTGATGCCTGACAATGCTTTATTTTCCCATCAGCTCTAGAGCATATGAACTTAAGAAGAGTTGGCATCTGTAGAAGAGAGGTCTATAGCAGAAGGGCAGAAGCATTCAGAAAGAAGATACTGTGAGCGTCAAAATTGAGATGTGGAAAATATGGAAATAATGAGGAGAGGCAGGACTGAGATGTGGAGATATGTTTCAGAGATCCAGACTGTGGGAAGCTCTGAAAAATTAATAATTATAATCTGGACTTTAATTTGGTCTTTTTTATTTTAGTTTTTTATTTTAATTGGAGTATTATGATTGGATATATTAATTGGATGTTTTTTATTGGAAAAGCAATAAAAATGATTTAAAAAAAGAAAGAAAGAAGGCACTGTGAGGGGTTAGAGCAGGCTTCCTCAACCTCAGCCCTCCAGATGTTTTGAGACTACAACTCCCATCATCCCTGACCACTGGTCCTGCTAGACAGGGATCATGGGAGTTGTAGGCCAAAAACATCTGAAGGGCCGAGTTTGAGGAAGCCTGGGTTAGAGGGTCACAGTACTTTCTTTCTGAACATTTCTGCCTATAAAGAGAAATAAATATATAAATAAAGGACCTACCCACATGATGCTGGCACAAATCCCCACACAAACACTATGCAATAGAACGAGAGAACAATACCCCCATCTCTCTCCCCTCCTTCTTTCCCCTTTCTCTCCCCCCCATAAGATGTCCATGACATTAGTGTCTTACACCAAACATAAACTAACCGTGAAAAAGACTCTATGAATTGAAAGTGGAGATGCTATATGTACTTTTCCTTGTTTCTTTGTTTATTTTGGAACACAAGAAAATCTTCAATAAAAAAAGGAAGAAAGGAAGAAACGCTTTCCTATTCCTGCTCTTACTGGCGCGTTTCTTTTAAGTACAGTGGACCCTCCGGATATGAACTTAATTCGTTCTGGGGGCCTTTACATACCCCAAAAAGTCCGCATCTAGAGACACTGCTTCTGTGCACACGCGCGGCACGATAGAGCACTTCTGTGCACGTGCACGCAGCAAAACCCAGAAGTATACATTTCCAGGTTTGCCACGTTTGCAACCCAAAAGTTATGTTACCCGAAGGTAACATAACCCGAGGGTCCACTGTCCAGAGAACAAGGTTGCCTGAAAAACCCAGGATGTGTCAGAGGGAAAATGAATTGATATTGATGTGTATTTAAATTAGTAACTCTGTATTAATGTAACCTCTTTATATGGAACTGCATATTTTTGTAATATTTTGTTTAAGTTGTCTGTTGTTGCTCCTTTCTTTATACACCACTTAGAGATATTTTTAATATATTAAGTGGTATAGAAATTAATCAAAATCAAATCAATTCCAGGAGGACCCTGAAAGTGTTGCAGCTTTGCGATACACAAGTTTGTGAAGGTGGGGAATTTGAAAAAATGTGTGCACCTCCCAAAGATTATCAGGCTCTCTCTCTCTCTCCCTCCATGTGTGTGTGTGTGTGTGTGTTTTACAGGCCAGATCTCATATTGTTATAAATATCAGTTTCCGGGTGTTAATTCTCATTGCGTATCCTTTTTAAAACCAACAACACCATATTGCCATTTTGCTTGTCTGATTAGCGTTCCCAAAAAAACCCTGTGAATTGTGTTAGCACACCTTTAGAATTGCTCTTGGTGGGTAGAAATCATTTATTACTTGGCGTAAAAATGGAAAACTGAATGGTTACAGTAAAATATTCAGGAATGGAAGATATGTAAAATGAACCATGGAAAGAGAAGAGGGGAAGCCACTGGATATCAATAAGTTTGTAAAATGTTTATTTAAAATTGTAAAAAATAATAATGAAAAATTAATAAATTTATATATAGATAAAGAAATCATTTATTACTACTATGTGGAGCCTGAAGGTAAAAATCTATTTCAAGAGTGACTCTTCCAGAATGCCATCTGTTCCCTGTGGGGCACCCCCTTGTCTGCCTTGCCTAACAATTAGAAAATATCAGATGAAGGCTTGGGGCACAGAGGGGAAAGAAACACTCAGGGACTGGAACCAATAGGGAGAAAATGAACCGAGAAACAGAACGAAAAATGTTTCAAAGTTGAGAGAGGCAGAGCCGCGAACAAAAGGTCTGTTTGAAAACACTTCACAATAACACACTATTCTTGTCATCAACAGACACTGATTGACTAAGTCACTCGAGTGACATACGTTTCTGGTGATCCTGAACAAAAAAGGATAGGCACCCCAAGCATAGGTTATGGGAAAAGTTCCCCTTTGAGCTGTCATACAAGTGTTTCTTTATGAACATGTGCAACTTTGATTTATCTCCTGTAGGGTTTCTTTCTTTCTGGATGATTATTGTTCCTTTTCTAGCCTGTTGACCCTTGATACAATTATGAGGCCCTTGAAAGCCCAGGGAAGGGATACGATATAATCATAGCAAGGATCGGACTTGGAGACATTGCTTCGCTTTTATGATGACAGGGTTTGGGGTTTTCTCCTTTGACAGATGTATGCCTCACTTTTATTCCTGCAATTCTGCCCATGGTTTTGGATGATTACTCTGCATGTATGTGTAACAGGCATTGGTTTTACCAGACAGGTTTTACCTTTATATATTTACCAGACAAGATTTATATGCAGCTTAATTCACAAAGCGCTTTACATGAAATATTCATTAAAGATACTGATAAAATTAAATATTAAAAACTAACAGGCCTACAGTTTATGAAAATCTACATATATTCAGCCATTTTAAAAGAGCTATACACAAAAAAATTCACATATTCATATTACTAGATGCCAAAAATTACATGCCTGGGCAGGACAGTAATGGCAATTTTTAAAACAGTGACTCATATCTGCATTGTTTGACCTCCTCCTTAAAAAGGCCTGCATTTTTTTTTTACTTTTGGAGCAGTAAAGCAGGTCAGAATCTTGTAGAAAAGATAGTTACTGATTAAAAGAAATACGCTTGGGATGGACTTCAGGATGAAAAGCTATTAAAATTATTTGTGTAAATGTCCCTGTGTTCAAGCATGTTGCTGGTTTGTCAACGCAGCATTACTGAATCATATAGTTGTTATGATGATCACCATCAACAACATGGCAACCTCCTTTGATCAAATCAGTTTGTTTCCTTCTTGAAGCACCAGAAGATGCAATCACTTTTTAAAAGATAGATTTCCTGGCATTTCCGTGAAGCTAGAAGCTTAGGGGAGACCTGACTGTAATTGGCTTCATAAACACAGTTGCCATAATTAGTCATAAACATTTCTGTCACCACCATTCAGTCACAAACAATTAGGCTGAAAATAAGCCAGAAAGCCTGTATTCATCCCCTCAAACATATGGGATTTGTGATGGTATACATTTATATCAGTAATGACTAACTTATTTCTGAGTCCCTAATAACTCTGCATTCAGGGCAAAAGAATTAATCAGGATTATTGTTATGACAATGGAAGTTTTTACAGTGGGTGTGAAGAACTGGTTCTCCCTCCCCCCTTTTTTGTACAAAATTTATTATTATTATTATTCTGTATATTTTGGAGCATCCTGGAAGTCCTTTATATATATCACTAACACGGAACAAGCCTGAGAGATTAAGAGTGAAGAAAATTTTGTGACTTGAACATAATCCTAGATACAATTGAGCTTAGTCTTCTGGTCAAGAA